TATGTAGTGAGAGGGAGTGCCTGGGCACTGCCCGTCACTGTTATGTAGTGAGAGGGAGTGCCTGGGCACTGCCCGTCACTTTTATGTAGTGAGAGGGAGTGCCTGGGCACTGCCCGTCACTGTTATGTAGTGAGAGGGAGTGTCTGGGCACTGCCCGTCACTGTTATGTAGTGAGAGGGAGTGCCTGGCCACTGCCCGTCACTGTTATGTAGTGAGAGGGAGTGCCTGGGCACTGCCCGTCACTTTTATGTAGTGAGAGGGAGTGCCTGGGCGCTGCCCGTCACTGTTATGTAGTGAGAGGGAGTGCCTGGGCACTGCCCGTCACTGTTATGTAGTGAGAGGGAGTGCCTGGGCACTGCCCGTCACTGTTATGTAGTGAGAGGGAGTGCCTGGGCACTGCCCGTCACTGTTATGTAGTGAGAGGGAGTGCCTGGGCACTGCCCGTCACTGTTATGTAGTGAGAGGGAGTGTCTGGCCACTGCCCGTCACTTTTATGTAGTGAGAGGGAGTGCCTGGGCACTGCCCGTCACTTTTATGTAGTGAGAGGGAGTGCCTGGGCACTGCCCGTCACTTTTATGTAGTGAGAGGGAGTGCCTGGCACTGCCCGTCACTGTTATGTAGTGAGAGGGAGTGCCTGGGCACTGCCCGTCACTGTTATGTAGTGAGAGGGAGTGTCTGGGCACTGCCCGTCACTTTTATGTAGTGAGAGGGAGTGCCTGGGCACTGCCCGTCACTGTTATGTAGTGAGAGGTAGTGTCTGGGCACTGCCCGTCACTGTTATGTAGTGAGAGGGAGTGCCTGGCCACTGCCCGTCACTGTTATGTAGTGAGAGGGAGTGCCTGGGCACTGCCCGTCACTGTTATGTAGTGAGAGGGAGTGTCTGGCCACTGCCCGTCACTGTTATGTAGTGAGAGGGAGTGCCTGGGCACTGCCCGTCACTTTTATGTAGTGAGAGGGAGTGCCTGGGCACTGCCCGTCACTGTTATGTAGTGAGAGGGAGTGCCTGGGCACTGCCCGTCACTGTTATGTAGTGAGAGGGAGTGCCTGGGCACTGGCCCGTCACTTTTATGTAGTGAGAGGGAGTGCCTGGGCACTGCCCGTCACTTTTATGTAGTGAGAGGGAGTGCCTGGGCACTGCCCGTCACTTTTATGTAGTGAGAGGGAGTGCCTGGGCACTGCCCGTCACTTCTATATAGTGAGAGGGAGTGCCTGGGCACTGCCCGTCACTTCTATATAGTGAGAGGGAGTGCCTGGGCACTGCCCGTCACTTCTATATAGTGAGAGGGATAGCCTGGGCACTGCCCGTCACTTCTATATAGTGAGAGGGATAGCCTGGGCACTGCCCGTCACTTCTATATAGTGAGAGGGAGTGCCTGGGCACTGCCCGTCACTTCTATATAGTGAAAGGGAGTGCCTGGGCACTGCCCGTCAATTCTATATAGTGAGAGGGAGAGCCTGGGCACTGCCCGTCACTTCTATATAGTGAGAGGGAGTGCCTGGGCACTGCCCGTCACTTCTATATAGTGAAAGGGAGTGCCTGGGCACTGCCGTCAATTCTATATAGTGAGAGGGAGTGCCTGGGCACTGCCCGTCACTTCTATATAGTGAGAGGGAGTGCCTGGGCACTGCCCGTCACTTCTATATAGTGAGAGGGAGTGCCTGGGCACTGCCCGTCACTTCTATATAGTGAGAGGGATAGCCTGGGCACTGCCCGTCACTTCTATATAGTGAGAGGGATAGCCTGGGCACTGCCCGTCACTTCTATATAGTGAGAGGGAGTGCATGGGCACTTCCCGTCACTTCTATATAGTGAAAGGGAGTGCCTGGGCACTGCCCGTCAATTCTATATAGTGAGAGGGAGTGCCTGGGCACTGCCCGTCACTTCTATATAGTGAGAGGGAGTGCCTGGGCACTGCCCGTCACTTCTACATAGTGAGAGGGAGTGTCTGGGCACTGCCCGTCACTTTTATATAGTGAGAGGGAGTGCCTGGGCACTGCCCGTCACTCCTATATAGTGAGAGGGAGTGCCTGGGCACTGCCCGTCACTTCTATATAGTGAGAGGGAGTGCCTGGGCACTGCCCGTCACTTCTATATAGTAAGAGGGAGTGCCTGGGCACTGCCCGTCAATTTTATATAGTGAGAGGGAGTGCCTGAGCACTGCCCGTCACTTCTATATAGTGAGAGGGAGTGCTTGGGCACTGCCCGTCAATTCTATATAGTGAGAGGGAGTGCCTGGACACTGCCCGTCACTTCTGTATAGTGAGAGGGAGTGCCTAGGCACTGCCTGTCACTTCTATATAGTGAGAGGGAGTGCCTGGGCACTGCCCGTTACTTCTATATAGTGAGAGGGAGTGCCTGGGCACTGCCCGTCACTTTTATATAGTGAGAGGGAGTGCCTGGGCACTGCCCGTCACTTTTATATAGTGATGGGGAGGGCCTGGGCACTGCCCGTCACTTCTATACAGTGAGAGAGAGTGCCTAGGCACTGCCCGTCACCTCTGTATTGTGAGAGAGAGTGCCTGGCACTGTCCATCACCTCTATATTGTGAGAAAAAGTGTCTGGCACTGTCCACTACTTCTGTATAGTGAGAGGGAGTGCCTGGCACTGTCCACTACTTCTGTATAGTGAGAGTGAGTGCCTGGCACTGTTCACTACCTCTATATAGTGAGATGGAGTGCCTGGCACTGGCCACTACTTTTTTATAGTGAGAGGGAGTGCCTGACACTGTCCACTACTTCTATATAGAGAGAGGGAGTGCCTGGCACTGTCCACTACTTCTATAGTGAGAGGGAGTGCCTGGCACTGTCCACTACTTCTATATAGTGAGAGGGAGTGCCTGGCACTGTCCACTATTTCTATATAGTGAGAGGGAGTGCCTGGCACTGTCCATTACTTCTATATAGTGAGAGGGGAGTGCCTGACTCTGTCCACTACTTCTATATAGTGAGAGGGAGTGCCTGGCACTGTCCACTACTTCTTTATAGTGAGATGGAGTGCCTGGCACTGTCCACTACTTCTATATAGTGAAAGGGAGTGCCTGGCACTGTCAACTACTTCTACATAGTGAAAGGGAGTGCCTGGCACTGCCCACTACTTTTTTATAGTGAGAGGGAGTGCCTGACACTGTCCACTACTTCTATATAGAGAGAGGGAGTGCCTGGCACTGTCCACTACTTCTATATAGTGAGAGGGAGTGCCTGGTACTGTCAACTACTTCTATATAGTGAGAGAGGAGTGCCTGGCACTGTCTACTATTTCTATATAGTGAGAGGGGAGTGTCTGGCACTGTTCACTACTTCTATATAGTGAGAGGGGAGTGTCTGGCACTGTCCACTACTTCTATATAGTGAGAGGGGAGTGCCTGGCACTGTTCACTATTTCTATATAGTGAGAGGGGAGTGCCTGACACTGTCCACTACTTCTATATAGTGAGAGGGGAGTGCCTGGCACTGTTCACTACTTCTATATAGTGAGAGGGGAGTGCCTGACACTGTCCACTACTTCTATATAGTGAGAGGGGAGTGCCTGGCACTGTCCACTATTTCTATATAGTGAGAGGGGAGTGCCTGGCACTGTCCACTACTTCTATATAGTGAGAGGGGAGTGCCTGGCACTGTTCACTATTTCTATATAGTGAGAGGGGAGTGCCTGACACTGTCCACTACTTCTATATAGTGAGAGGGGAGTGCCGGGCCCACTGTTCACTACTTCTATATAGTGAGAGGGGAGTGCCTGACACTGTCCACTACTTCTATATAGTGAGAGGGGAGTGCCTGGCACTGTCCACTATTTCTATATAGTGAGAGGGGAGTGCCTGGCACTGTCCACTACTTCTATATAGTGAGAGGGGAGTGCCTGGCACTGTCCACTACTTCTATATAGTGAGAGGGGATGCCTGGCACTGTCCACTACTTCTATATAGTGAGAGGGAGTGCCTGGCACTGTCCACTATTTCTATATAGTGAGAGGGGAGTGCCTGGCACTGTCCACTACTTCTATATAGTGAGAGGGGAGTGCCTGGCACTGTTCACTATTTCTATATAGTGAGAGGGGTGTGCCTGACACTGTCCACTACTTCTATATAGTGAGAGGGGAGTGCCTGGCACTGTTCACTACTTCTATATAGTGAGAGGGGAGTGCCTGACACTGTCCACTACTTCTATATAGTGAGAGGGGAGTGCCTGGCACTGTCCACTATTTCTATATAGTGAGAGGGGAGTGCCTGGCACTGTTCACTACTTCTATATAGTGAGAGGGGAGTGCCTGGCACTGTTCACTACTTCTATATAGTGAGAGGGGAGTGCCTGGCACTGTTCACTACTTCTATATAGTGAGATGATTTTTTTTCTGAATTTTCTTGATAAAAAAATTTTTCAGAAAATTTTCATTATTATTTTCTAATATTTTAAATCCCTTTTTTTTTCTTCATTCACAAAATAATAATATTATATTTTGACTTAAAAAAAATTCTTCTCTGAATTTGAAAAAAATCTGATTTGAATACTTGTTTTTGAGATTCGTTTTCTTTTCTGATTTTTTTATTTATTTCAATACATAAAACAATTTTCTTTAAACAATATCGAGTCTTTTAATACATTCACGCGAGTTTATTCATTATCTTAGGCTAAATGGAGAAATTCCTTCACTAACGAACGTAATAAATGGCGGAGATTTGTTTACAAAGTGACAAGATGGCGGCCGGGATGAAAAACAAAGTAGCCGAGGCTTGCGCCACACTCCACCCTCCATTCACCACCATTTTTCACCGGCCTGCCTGATTCTGATCTTCTTGTTATCTGCCGTTCTTTTCCATTTTTCTCGTTGAGGAAGACGTGGAGGGATGAATGGAGGGAGTATATCACCGTCAAGGAGGACAGAGGGACGGGCCAAGACCACGCTTGGCGCGCGTCATCTCGCTGTCATTTGGCGGCCAGAGACAAATGACTGGCGTCTCTCCTCACGTTGTCGGATTTATCTTCGGAGGATTTTTTTTTTTAGGTTGAAACCCGAGGAACTGGTGGACCTGATGAGGGCACGACGCCCCCGGCAGGGTCCAGGGAAAGGCCCTGAATGTGACCATATCGCCTCCAACACCACCACCACTGATCACCTTATCTCCAACACTGCCATCTCAGTTAGTCAATCTCCAACACTGCCACCTCCGTCAGTCAATCTCCAACACCACCAACAACAACTGAAAATATAAGAATATTTCGTAACGTGCCGTAGCGTAAGAGCTACTGCTATGTCAGCTACAGCTACTGCTGTGTCAGATACAGTTACTGCTGTGTCAGCTAGAGCTACTGCTGTGTCAGCTACAGCTACTGCTGTGTCAGCTACAGCTACTGCTGTGTCAGCTACAGCTACTGCTGTGTCAGCTACAGCTACTGCTGTGTCAGCTACAGCTACTGCTGTGTCAGCTACAGCTACTGCTGTGTCAGATACAGCTACTGCTGTGTCAGCTAGAGCTACTGCTGTGTCAGCTACAGCTACTGCTGTGTCAGCTACAGCTACTGCTGTGTCAGCTACAGCTACTGCTGTGTCAACTACAGCTACTGCTGTGTCAACTACAACTACTACTGTGTCAGCTACAGCTACTGCTGTGTCAGCTACAGCTACTGCTGTGTCAGCTACAGCTACTGCTGTGTCAGCTACAGCTACTGCTGTGTCAGCTACAGCTACTGCTGTGTCAGCTACAGCTACTGCTGTCACCTACAACTACTGCTGTGAATGAACACTAAGCGCTAAGAACTTAGGTTAGGTAAGATTCGTCAGGAAACAGGACAAGTATTTCCTGACGCGGGTCTTAGTCAACTGATGACCCACCTCCGGAGCTTTTGGTCGTCTGAGCGAGGCCTTCCACCGGCTTATCCCTTCACCCCTTTCAAAATTTAGGATATATAATTATAACCATTTAACCAGGTGAGAATTTACCAAGTTAATACCGACAACACTGAAGATAATGGCAGAAATTACTTAAACAATCAAAGATACATGTTCCTTCTTAAACATGACATAAAAATTCCCGAGATTCATTTGTTTTCTTAAAGACCCGAAATTGAAAGTAAACAATGGCGAAATTAGCAGTGTTGGCTAGTTTTGCTCTAAATAGCATATGTTAACGTACATACACTGTGAGTAGCAGTGTATATGTGAGGTGAGACGATATATATCAGAGTAATAAAGTGTCCTTGGCTAGTGGTGTACAGGTGACATGCTGACTTAATGACCCTCCAGTAATCGATAGTCATTAAGCACTATAAACCAACCACATATGTGTCCCCTGATGGTGGTATTTAACAATTTATCAAAGTAAACCCAGGGGCGAAACGTCTGGACACTGATACATACTCCCATAACAGTGAGAAAGAGAGACAAGTCAACTATCGCACACTAAAGTCAACGATAATTTTAACTCTAATGGAAGGAAAAAATTTAATTTAAATCAACAGGGATTTCAGTCAAAAAATTTTAATTTTTTACTAAAATGTTTAAGTTGTATAATTAAGAAACGGGCACTATATGCCGGATATACAGGTGTATGATATTGACCAGTAATGCAGATACACAATGCAATCACTCTAGGACATATTTAACGAATCGGACATGAGTAATGTAGAAGTGAGATCTGTCAGCATGTCATCTCACTGAAGTGTGTGGTAGTGGACGGGGAGAAGCTTGTCTGATGATCAGTTAGGTTGGGCAGGAACTGTCAGGAACTGTCAGGAAGCAGGACAAATGTCTCCTGACGACGTCTGTGGAGATGAAGTTAGGTCAAGATAATCTGTGCTTTTTCCCAGACCATCAAACGTCCTTCTGTGTCCCTGGGACCAGGTGTACACTGCTCTCATCTTCAACCTTCGTGCACACCAGCAGTGTAAACTCCAAAATAGCATGGTTTACTATATATATATATTATATATATATATATATATATATATATATATATCTATATATATATATATATATATATATTATATATATATATATATATATATTATATATATATATATATATATATATATATAAAATATATATATAAAATATATATATATATATATATATATATTATATATATATGTATGTACCTGAGTGCCACATACTACACTACAGTGTTCTAAAGGAACAATCTCTAAGACACTCACTACCTCCTTCTTTCATCCACAGCCCAGCACCTGCTACAAGTGGCGAGTTGTTCACAGTAATGGGAGGCGCATCAGAGTAAGGAAAGTTAAGAGTGAAGATCTGAAGGTAGGAAATCGCTTCTCTGTTCTCCAGGATGAATGTACTTCAGTGGCCAGTGAAGGTAAGGGTACTACTGCCCCTGCTAATGAAGGTAAGCGCATTCTTGTGGTTGGTGACTCTCAGGTAAGATATGTTGACCGTGCTTTTTGTAATAGGAATAAGAAGATGAGAGATAGAGTGTGCTTCCCTGGAGCTGGTGTTGGGGACATTGTCAACAGACTGGATAATATCATGTCAGGTAATGGGAACAAGCCCATTATCTGTCTCAGTGCTGGTGGAAATGATATTGGGAAGGGTAGGAGAGAAGAGCTGCTAGATAAGTACAGGTCAGCTATAGATTTCATTAAGTCTAAGGGAGGGACCCCAATCATATGTAGCATCTTGCCTAGAAGGGGAGTGGGAAAAATGAATGGTTGTCTAGGGCAATTGGTGTAAATTGCTGGCTAGACAGATACTGCAAGGAACTTGCAATCCATTCATTGACAACGGGAAAACAACTTTTATGGCAAACATGATATGTATGCAAGGGATGGGTTCATCTCTCTGGGGCAGGGGTGGTAGCACTTGCAGACTCGATTGAGAAGGCCATTGGTGAAATGCCTATGATTTTAAACTGATGGAAGATAGAGGTATGGGTGTGTGTGGGAAACAAGCAGGTTGCAAACACTAGGGTTGGAAACAGTAAATGTATAAAAGGCATTCAGCATGAAGTTATAAATAAAGACAATAGAACAGGTCAGAAAACAAAGGGGGACAGCAGAGGGCAGCAAGGGACTAGCTCCCTTAAGGTTTACTATACTAATAGCAGGAGTGTTAGAAATAAGATAGATGAGCTAAGATTAATTGCAAGTGCAGGAAACATAGATATTATTGCTATAACAGAGACCTGGCTCAATCTGAAAGATAGAGAGATGCCATCTGAATGTCACATTTCAAGGCTATAAATTATTCCACACTGACAGGGTCAACAGGAAAGGTGGTGGAGTAGCGATGTATGTCAGAGACAATTTAAATTGTTGTGTTAGACAAGATATTAAAAATTTGAAGCGTCAGCCACTGAATCTGTTTGGTTACAGCTTCTCGAGGGCCGAGAAAAACTAATTTTGGGTGTGATTTACAGGGCCCCAAATCTTGATAGGGAGTGCAGTAAACTTCTATGGGACGAAATTCGTAAGGCATCTACATACGAAAATGTTGTGCTAATGGGAGATTTCAACTATTAGACAGATTGACTGGAGCAATTTGACAGGAAATTTAGAGTCGGGTGACTTTCTTGATACGATCCAGGATTGTTTTTTTAAACAGTTTGTGACAGAGCCAACTAGGGGAAATAACCTCCTTGACTTGGGTTTTTGCAGTAGGGAAACACTAATTAATAATCTTGAGGTTAATGATGAGCTTGGGGAGAGTGATCACAAATCACTCAGTTTTAACATATCATGGAATTCCCCTAATAATGGCAATCAAGTCTCCGTCCCTGACTTTCGCTTGGGTGATTTCATAGGACTGAAAAATTACTTAGGTGGGCTGAACTGGAATGACCTGACTAGGGGTCAGGTAGGTGGTGATGGTTGCCGATATGATGCTTTCCGGGCATAGTTCTAGCTGCTCAGTCAAATTATGTTCCAAATAGGGAAATCAGATCAAACAAAAATGATCCTAAATGGATGAACATAGATTAAAATATTGATTGGTCAAAAGAGAGGCATATATAGGCAAATCAAAAGAGGAGAGGGGCAATTAAGAAATCGATATATTCAGTTAAAGAGAGAAATAAAAAAGGGAATTAGAAAAGCAAAAAGAGATTATGAGGTTAAAGTTGCAAGAGAATCGAAGACTAACCCAAAAGGATTCTTTCAGGTATACAGAAGTAAGATCAGGGACAAGATAGGCCCACTCAAAAGTTCCTCGGGTCAGCTCACTGACAGTGATAAGGAAATGTGTAGAATTTTTAACACATACTTCCTCTCAGTTTTTACACAGGAGGATACCAGTGATATTCCAGTAATGATAAATTTTTGTAGAACAGGACGATAATAACTGTGCACTATTAGGGTCACAAGTGACATGGTCCTTAGGCAAATAGATAAATTAAAACCTAACAAATCCCCAGGCCCTGATGAACTGTATGCAAGGGTTCTAAAGGAATGTAAAGAGGAGCTTAGCACACCTTTGGCTAATCTTTTCAACATATCACTACAAACTGGCATGGTGCCAGATAAGTGGAAAATGGCAAATGTGATACCTATTTTCAAAACAGGTGACAGGTCCTTAGCTTCGAACTATAGACCAATAAGCCTAACCTCCATAGTGGGAAAATTTATGGAATCAATAATTGCCGAGGCAGTTCGTAGCCACCTTGAAAAGCATAAATTAATCAACGAATCTCAGCATGGTTTTACAAAGGGACGTTCCTGCCTTACGAATTTATTAACTTTTTTCACTAAGGTATTTGAGGAGGTAGATCATGGTAACGAATATGATATTGTGTATATGGACTTCAGTAAGGCTTTTGACAGGGTCCCACATCAGAGACTATTGAGGAAAATTAAAGCACATGGAATAGGAGGAGAAATTTTTTCCTGGATAGAGGCATGGTTGACAAATAGGCAGCAGAGAGTTTGCATAAATGGGGAGAAATCAGAGTGGGGAAGCGTCACGAGCGGTGTTCCACAGGGGTCAGTGTTGGGCCCCCTGCTGTTCACAATCTACATAAACGACATAGATGAGGGCATAAAGAGCGACATCGGCAAGTTTGCCGATGACACCAAAATAGGCCGTCGAATTCATTCTGACGAGGACATTCGAGCACTCCAGGAAGATTTGAATAGACTGATGCAGTGGTCGGAGAAGTGGCAGATGCAGTTTAATATAGACAAATGCAAAGTTCTAAATGTTGGACAGGACAATAACCATGCCACATATAAAACTAAATAATGTAGATCTTAATATTACGGATTGCGAAAAAGATTTAGGAGTTCTGGTTAGCAGTAATCTGAAACCAAGACAACAGTGCATAAGTGTTCGCAATAAGCTAATAGAATCCTTGGCTTCATATCAAGAAGCATAAATAATAGGAGTCCTCAGGTTGTTCTTCAACTCTATACATCCTTGGTTAGGCCTCATTTAGATTATGCTGCACAGTTTTGGTCACCGTATTACAGAATGGATATAAATTCTCTGGAAAATGTACAAAGGAGGATGACAAAGATGATCCCATGTATCAGAAACCTTCCCTATGAGGATAGACTAAGGGCCCTGAAACTGCACTCTCTAGAAAGACGTAGAATTAGGGGGATATGATTGAGGTTTATAAGTGGAAGACAGGAATAAATAAAGGGGATGTAAATAGTGTGCTGATAATATCTAGCCTAGACAGGACTCGCAGCAATGGTTTTAAGTTGGAAAAATTCAGATTCAGGAGGGATATAGGAAAGTACTGGTTTGGTAATAGAGTTGTGGATGAGTGGAACAAACTCCCAAGTACCGTTATAGAGGCCAGAACGTTGTGTAGCTTTAAAAATAGGTTGGATAAATACATGAGTAGATGTGGGTGGGTGTGAGTTAGACCTGATAGCTTGTGCTAACGGGTCGGTTGCCGTGTTCCTCCCTTGAGTCAATGTGACCTGACCTGACTAGGTTGGGTGCATTGGCTTAAGCCGGTAGGGACTTGGACCTGCCTCGCATGGGCCAGTAGGCCTTCTGCAGTGTTCCTTCGTTCTTATGTTCTTATGTTCTT